CCCGGGCAGCCCTCTGTGACGTCATCCCCCGGCCTGCCCCCCCCTTTCGGGGGCTGAGTGGGTGGTCCGCGCCGTGCTGACGTCATGCTGCGTAGGGGAGACTCGCTCTGCTCTCCGGCCGGGCTGGCGGAGTTAGGCTGGAGCGGAGCAGCGGCCGGAGACGCCCCCCCCCTTTTTATTCTATTATTATTATTATTATCATCATCCTTATTATTATTATTATTATTCCTCTTTTTTTCCCTCCCCCCCCTTCTTTTTTCCTTTCCGCATCACAACTTTTGCCCGCACCTCCTTCTGCATGGTGGATATTATTTTTCCTTCCCCTTTTGGAGGCGCGATGGGGGATCACGCCAAAAGTAAGTCTTTTTATTTCCTTCCCCCCCCCCCCCGCGTCTCTCTCTCTCGCCGCTCGGACCCCGCGCTGGGAAGCTTTGGGGCGCACGGGGAAGAGGGGGGGGGCGCAAGGATGTCTTTGGGAAAGAAGGGGGCGCTTTGGATGGACGGCTTGGGAAAAGGAGAGAGAGAGAGGTGCAAAAATAAGAGTTATTAATATGGTTAGTTTGGTTCGTCGCACAGTCAGCCAGATGTTCAGACTTGATTTGGCATTTTTGTCTACCTAGTGAATCCTTTCCAAGGACCCGGGATAGGCAGATCTGGATGTTTGAGAGTGTTACAATTATTGCTGTTGCTGTTTTTTTATTATTATTATTATTATTATTATTATTATTATTATTATTATTATTATTATTATTATTATTATTATTATTATTATTATTATTATTATTATTATTATTATTATTATTATTATTATTATTATTTTGTTGTCGTCGTCATCATCATCTTCAGTTCGATTCACAGTCTGGGACTGGTAAAAACTTAACAGTTCAAGTCCTAACCAAGGACCTAAGAGCTGTTAAGGTAACGTCTGAGTATATAGGCAGTTCCGAGGAGTAACGTGGTTTTCCGCAAAGAATATTCAGGTCTAATAAGTTCAAAATTTCCATGCCTCAATTGGGTGTTGCTCCCAGGGGCTCCTGTTACTATTGGTACAACCGCTGAATTCTTCCATCATCACTATTATTATTATTATTATTATTATTATTATTATTATTATTATTATTATTATTATTATTATTATTATATTATTATTATTATTATTATTATTATTATTATTATTATTATTATTATTATTATTATTATTATTATTATTATTATTATTATTCCTGCTACTGGGAGATCAATTCAGAGTGCCTTGCAGAAAGCGGTTTTCGTTCATCTTTATAGTGCCTCCTTTAATGTTGTTAATTGGGCTTGATTGCCCCCATAAGTGAGCCCCTCGCCAAAAAGTGTCCAAGGAAAAGGAGATGATGATGATGATGATGATGATGATGATGATGATGATGATCTGCATCTTTTCATCGGGAAAATCTTTTCCACCGCTTCTGGGAAACGGGGCGAGGGAAAGAAACGGCTGGCGAAACGACCAGGCCGACGTCGTCCTCCCGCTGCTTTTTCCTCCCTCCCCCCGGTTTCCCTTTTGGGGGGCTCGGCGACCCCCTTTCGGGTCTTCGGAGGGCCCTTTTCGTTCGGCCGGGTCGGGCTTCTTCAGCCCAGCCGTTTCCCCCTCGCCAAGTTGTCCTGAGTGTCCTTTGCTGTTTTTCTTTCCCCCTTGCCCCCCCACCCCCACCCTTTCCCACCCGGGCAGAGAAAGCCGGGACCGCCACGTGCGTGGGCTGCGGGAGCGAAATCCACGACCAGTACATCCTGAAGGTCTCGCCCGACCTGGAGTGGCACGCGGCCTGTCTGAAGTGCGCGGACTGCAGCCAATACCTGGACGAGACCTGCACCTGCTTCGTGCGCGACGGGAAGACCTACTGTAAAAGAGATTACATCAGGTAGAAGAGCCCCCCCTCTTTCTTTCTAAGCAGGGGACCCCCCCCTTTATTTTGAAGCTTCTCCTGGGGAGCTTTCCGCGGGCGAGCGTGGACCCTTCCCCTGGGACTGTGGGCCTCTTTGGTGAGGGGGAGTTGGGGGCTTTGGTCCCCGAAAGAGACTCGCCGCCCTCTACTGCCCTCCCTCCCCCCGCAGCGTTTAGTGGGAGTTTTCTTTTGGGGGAGTGGGATGTAAGGGGGGTCGCCGAAGGTGGAGCGAGAGTGGCGCGTGGGCTTTGAAGCCTTGATGGCCGGAAGTTCAGGACGCCTTGCCAGGGGAATCCTCTTGTCACTCGCCCCCCTCCCATACACACACACACACACACACACACACGGACTAAGGGCAACGCTCACCTGAAAGCCTTACTGTGAATTTCAAGGAGGGGGAGGAAGCCTGGCCTAGGCACACACATACACGCGTGCCTTTTATAAAATTGGGGACACAAACCTTTGCAAGCCCCCTTCCCTTTAAGGTCTCTGTGTAAAACTGTTGCACAAACGCCTACACACAATGTCTTTTATCAAGCTGGGGGCACAAGCCTTTGCAAGCCCACTCCGCTACCTGCCTCCCTGTGAAATATCTGGGGAACCCTTGCACAAACACGCCCGCGCACTTGTACACAAACTTGCCTTCTATACAACGGGGGGGGGGGCACACGCGTCCCGACACGCGCACACCCACCCACTTTAACCTATCTGTAAAATTCGGAGAGGAATCCTTTGCACGCGCACAGATCCACGCGCGTAAGTAAACCCGCAAGGCACATCTGCTTTCTCACAGACTTCTGGGGGGAATCCTTGCACGCGGGCACACACGCGCGCAAAGACTGAGGCGGGGAAGGGAGGGGTCCACCCATTTGGGCCTTCCTCCTCCGGAGTTCGAGGTAGCGAAGGAGTCTGCAGCATTGACTGCCCGGCCTGGTCCAAAGTCGTGTTTTTTTTTGTCCTCCCGTTTCGCCCCCGGCCCAGAGTTTCGCCTGGAAATCCCGCCAGCAGCTCCAACCCTCGGGCAGAGGGAAAGAAAACGAGAAGGGCCTGACTGGGAATAATATTAATATTAATACTATTAAATGAAAAGAACTATTAAAACGAACCGTCGTCACAGATATTAAAATTAATACTATTAATATTAATGGCAGCGACAGAGTAATACTGTTAGTGATTGGGGGGGGGCGGCTGTTTTGTCTCCCCGTCCCTTAGCTGGGCGCAGCGAGCGCTCCGTGCCCGGAGACCCTCGCGGGGTCTGGGGAGGGTGGGGGAGCGTCCAGGGCCGGGCCGGGCTTGACGGCCGCCCTCCCCCGCTGGCTCCGCAGGCTCTTCGGCACCAAGTGCGCCAGGTGCGCGGGCGGCTTCAGCAGCAGCGACCTGGTCATGCGCGCCCGCGGCCACGTCTACCACCTGGAGTGCTTCCGATGCGCCGTCTGCAGCCGCCAGCTCCTGCCCGGGGACGAGTTCTCGCTGCGCGACCGCGAGCTGCTCTGCCGCGCCGACCACCGCCTCCTGCTGGAGGGCGCCTCCTCGGCCGAGAGCCCCCCGCGCAGCCCCGGACAGCTGCAGGGCGCCCGGCCGGGCCCGCTCCCGCTGCCAGGTAAGCCTCCCGCCCGGCCGCCCTTCCCCAGGCGGCCCCCTCCCCAAGGAACGCGGTGGGTGCTCGGCAGGCCTCCCTCCCTCCTTTCCTTCTTTCCTTCCTCCTTTCCTTCCTTCCCCCTTCTTCCCTCCCTCCCTTTCTTTCTTCCTTCCTTCTTACCTTCCTTCCTTCCCTCTTCTTCCCCTTTTTCCTCCCTCCCCTCCCTCCCTCTCTTC